TGAAGATCATTTGACAAATGAATTGTTATAAAGACGATTCCATTCGTGTATACCATTCACTTCGAAACGAAATGTGTCACTTAATCATATCAACATAGATCTATTGACAAATGAATTGTTATCAGTAGGTTCCATTCAAATATATCGCTTAGTTCGAAGTGAAGCGTGTCACTCGATCGTATCAGCATAGATTTATTGACAAATGAATTGTTATCAACAGGTTCCATTCAAATATATTGCTTAGTTCGAAGTAAGGTGTGCCACTCGATCATATCAGCATAGATATATTGACAAATGAATTGTTATCACCAGGTTCTAGTCAAGTATGTCGCTCACTTTGAAATGAAATGTGCCACTCGATCATATCAGTAAAGATGTATTGACAAATGAATCGTTATAAAAACGATTCTATTCGTGTATACCATTCACTTCGAAGCGAAATGTGTCACTTGATCATATCAACATAGATCTATTGACAAATGAATTGTTATCAATAGGTTCTATTCAAGTATGTCGCTCACTTTGAAATGAAGTGTGCCACTCGATTATATCGGCAAAGATGTATTGACAAATGGATCGTTACAATTATGGTTTCATTCAAATATACTACTCACTTCGAAGTGAAGTGTGTCACTCGATCATATCAGCAAAGATGTATTGACAAATGAATCGTTATAACCATGGTTTCATTCAAATATATCACTCACTTCGAAGTGAAGTGTGTCACTTGATTATATCAACATAGATCTATTGGCAAGTGAATTGTTATAAACAGGGCTTCATTCAAGTATACCACTCATTTCGAAGCGAAATGTGTCACTCGATCATATCAGTAAAGATCTATTGACAAATAAATTGTTGTCAGTAGGATTCTATTCAAGTACGTCGCTTACTTCAAAGTGAAATCTGTTATTCAATCACATCTGAAAAAATCTATTGATAAATGAATCCTTATGATTAGAGTTGTATTCAAGTATAACGCTAGAAATAAAAAGCAAAATTCACATTCAGCTTAGTTTATCGGAACACCTAAATGATGATTATGTGGAACAAAGATTTTGTTCAGCTATGTCACTCTTAACTAAACTACTGACTGTTATATGCACTGGTGAACGATACATAATGAACGCATCAGTTTGATGATAATTCTGATCAAATAAATCGCTCACTTCATAACGAAGTGTGACACTCATTCATATACGCAAAAGTTTATTGACAAATGAATCATTCTAATCACGGTTCCCTTCAATTATATTATTCATCTCGAAGCAAAGTATGTTATTTGATCACATCAGCAAAGATCTCTTGACAGATGAATTGTTATAATTATAGTTTTATTCATGTACATCATTCACTTTGAGATAAACTATCCCACTAGACTAGCATATAAAAATTTACATGTTAATTAATCACTTCTAACAAAGATTTTGTACAAATATGACTTTTCTTTTAGAAAAAGTGTACATAAAACTAGATCATCAAAGTTGAAATAGTAAATGAATGATTCTTATTAGAATTGTATTCAAGTATGTCGCTCACTTCGCAACGGAGTGTATCACTAGATCATGTCAGAAAGATCTTTCGACAAAATGAATAGTTCTAAACAGGATCCCATTCAAGTATATGATTCACTTCGCAACGGAGTGTATCACTCGGTCATGTCAGAAAGATCTTTCAGCAAAATGAATAGTTCTAAGAAGGGTTCCATTCAAGTATATGACTCACTTCGACACGAAGTGTGTCACTTGGTCACGTCAGAAAGATCTTTCATCAAAATGAATCGTTCTAACCAGGACTCCATTCAAGTATATGACTCACTTCGACACGAAGTGTGTCATTTGGTCGCGTTAGAGAGATATTTCGGCAAAATGAATCGTTCTAAGTAGCATTCCATTCAATTATATGACTCACTTCGAAACAAAGTTTGCCACTCTATCAAATCAGAAGAGAAGTACTGTTAAATGAATCGAGCTAAGTAATACGATTCTGTTCGAGTATCGTGCTTGGCTTATATAGTTCATTTGAAAGAAAAACACGTTCGCTGTAAAGGTTACAACTAAATAGTTACTACAATCACTCTGTTCATATATTGGCTATGACAGAGCAATGAGGTAAGGCTGAAAGTGCATTGAAGAAGAACGTGAAGCATGAACGATAGAAAGCAATTGTCCATTCAGGGATCTAGTGATGCACCGTAAAATTTGAACGGAAAATCTTTAGATGGATGACCTGAAGATGTTTGGATATTTTCAAGCAAACATCGATTTAACTATATGAACGACTGTACGGCAAGAATCACCGCTGTTGTTTCGAATAATGACGACATAGTGCATGCACAGTCAGGACAAAGATTCTATTCAACTATTTCAAACAACTGGAAGTGTTCGTGCGACATTGATCGATGGACGAAAGCAAACGTTGTATGTGACAGTATTGTAGGTGCAAGTGTTGTTGTTGTTGTTGTTGTCGTACCTAAATGAATATGATGAGTTGTATTTGAATTTAAAACTTCATGTGCTACGCAGTGTCCCTGCAGTGCACTGGAAAAAATTCGAAGAATAATAAACAAAAAAGCTGTTTTTGGTTCCGTAATCAACGAAAAAAGGAGTTTATGAGTTTGCAACAGGACATAAATTCTTTTTTGTCGTATATGACGAAGATAATAAACAGTTTTTTCGTTTATCATTTGGAAAAGGATTTTAATAGATATTTCAAAAACGGGAAAAAGGATTTATGTCAAGTTGCAAACTCATAAACCCTCATTTTTTTACGATGTGCTTAAGCAAATTGACTTCAATCTGTTTGTGAATTTTTATACAGTAAGCCCTTGCCATTTCAAAGTGCAATATAGACTAGGCATAGAGTTAGGAAAAGAAAAGTTTGAAAATATTGATCTATCAGCTCAGTTTACTGATAATATGTCCTACTACAAGGAGACCATTTCTAAATAGTGAATTTACTGCCGGAACTCCGCTACTTCCAGCTTACAGTTACTCGAGCTTACACTTGCGAGTAAGCAGAAGAAAAAAAGTTCTTTGTTTTAGTATTTTATTGTTTTTTCATTAGGAGGTTGCATGGGTATGCGTTCCACGAATTTCATTCAAGAGACAATGGATCGAAATACATTCTCTAGATAAATGTGCTTTTATTATTAAGCAATTTCATTCTTTTATATTGTCTTTCTTCACGATTCGTAAGAATAGTGAGCTTTCAATAAAATTCGAACATATGATTGTTACTTTCTCATGAAAGAAATAAGTTATCAAAAAGAACTTTCTAGAATAGTTCAATAGTTTCGAAGTTTTCAAGAAAGCATTCAAAGTCTAGCAGCATAAATCATAATTTATGAATTGTAGTGCAGCAACGACTTTAAAATGCTGTCAAATTCGACAGAAATCCTGACAGTAAACGAGTATGTATGTCTTGCGTTATTTATGACAAGAAAGACTGGAATGAGCGACATGAAACTAGAATGTCTCACTATGCACATGAGACGACTTTTTCGATCGTAATGCAAGCGGAGAAGAAGCACTAAAAGTTATGGTTGTATGTGTCAGTCCCCGATGGTAATAAAACATATGTAAGCGATCAGTTCAGATAAGTCCGAGCTTAAGAATAATATCATTTGAACAAGAGAAACTAATAATAGAACGTATCAGAGATAGAGGAGTTAAGAATGTCACGAAGGTAAGTGAAAGGCAAGCGCGATTGACACCTAAAAGCAGATAGTCAACATCTGGACATAAGTCCCCATGTAATACATTTTCTTGAACTGCCACCGGTTTACCGCGGTATTTGAAGAAACCGCCGGTATACCGGCGATATACCGACAATTTTATTAAGTACCGCGGTATATCGGCGGTCAAAACACTACCTAAATGTACATCTATTTATCTATATAGATGATTATTTTTGTTTCTTTAATTTAAATCATTCTCAACATCACAATGAAGAGTAAGTATTCATTGCACAAATTATAATATTTTTCTTTTATTTAGAGAAATCTCAACTCTGAAAGTAAAGTAATCAATTGCGTAAATTATTCGCTTCTTTCATGTAGATCGATTTTAACATCACAATGAACAATGAATATTGCTTTATAAATTAATTTCTTTCGTTGGTTTAGAGTAATATTAACAACAAGGAGAAAAGTAAGTATTTATTTATGCAAATTATTGTTTTTCTTTTTTTTTAGATCAATCTGAAAATGATTGACTCAACACAACGAGGAAACAAAGAAGAAGCAACGATTGCTAATCACATCTGCGATTCGAAGTCTTACAAACCTAAGTATAAATATAAATTATCATAGACTACACGTTAGTTTAGTGAATCTATTTAATAAAAAATCCTCTTATATTTTTTAATTTATATATCGAAAGTTGTTTTCGAGTGAAATCTAACCTTTATTTAAATTTTTCTCAGAAACAGTTAAATTTCAGTCAAAAAAAACTTTCGATATATAGATAAAAAAGATAAGAGGACTTTTTATTAAATAGATTCACTAAACCAATTTGCGATCTATGATAATTTACATTTATTCTTAGATTAGTAAGAGTGCAGATCAGTAGATTCGTACCCTAATTGTGCCGGTGTACTACCGGTTATTTTGTTATTACCGGCACATGCCGCCGGTTTTTTCCGATTCGAATCCTATCGGATCATATCTTTTAAACAAAGCACCTTTTGCTAGTTCATTAGTCCAAAATCTACATAGTCTTGTAGCAGAAGAGTAGTGTCCGATCAATTAAAAAACTAAAAACTATCGAAAATGAGAAAAAAAAGATCGAGCAATTGCAACAGCTTCATTTTCTCTCGACTATGCATGATTACATGAACTTCATTTCGCGAAATGACATTTCGTCATTTTCCGAGATATTTTAAGAGAAACTTTGACTTATTCTGAACATCTTTGTATATGTGAAGTTCAACGGTTTTCAAACATTCAAATTTTTTTTCATTAAATCACTATACGAAGCACTATTTTACTAGTTAGTCTATTACTTACGGGTAGTAGTTGTCGTTGTTGTTGTTGTAGTTGCTATTTAATTTAGAACATGAAAAGAAACAAAAATAAGGAATTAATTAAACAGTTCAGCTGTTTTGGGTTGATCTTAATACGTCCTGTCTAATAGAGCTTTGACAGATTATAAGTCTTTAGATCATTCACAAGAGTATTTCAAAATTTTCTAACGTACTCTGTTTGACGTCGATCACTCGACTGATGTTTTAAGAGGCCATAAACATATGGGGATCTGCTTTTCGAGCTCAATCAAACATAATCTTTTTGCAGAGTTTTAAGTTGCTATCGAAACTATTCTATAGCAATAGGTCTATCGTTGACAAATTCATTCCTTCTGAAGCTAATATATTCCATTTTGGGAGAAAAATGAGTTTTACGTTATTTTATATCGTATTTCGAATTCTAGGGCAGAATTGCTATTTTTTAAAACGTAAGTGAAAAAGGTTCAATGTTACCAAGCGCCATTTTTGAATGAAAACTGGTACTACTGGTAATAATGCATACGAATATTGATACTAGTTTCGTATTCGTTACTTCATTGTTTATCTATACTTTACTTAGAACTAATTCGACTCAGCTCTACAGAAACATCAACAAAAAATCAGAATTTCTATGAGACTCCAATTGTTCAAGTTAGTCCCATCACATCTCATCTGATGATTCATTCGGATTTCTACACTTATATCTGAAGTAGTAAACTATTTCTTTTCAGTTGATGAGAACAAATTATAGCATCAGAATCTATTCGATCTTCCAAATAAATAATGAAATCATTCAAGCAAATAAAACAAGACATTAGCTTACCGTTGGTTCTACGAGGAATTACTTTAGTTGGCAAATAAACTGGTATCAGTGACAGCACGATTACTATTGCCGCAGTAGCAAGAATCCCCAGAGCAGCCAGGGTGGCGAGTATTGGTACCCATGCAGTTGACGCTGTGTTTCTGAAAATAGAATAGTATTTTGAAAAAGAATTCTTCAGCAATGTCAGCTACATCAGTTATGCCATTCGTTGACTTCGGAAAAAGAAGTTATTCTGAGAATAAGAACGGAGAAGCCTCTCTGGACCAGTTGTATGCGAGCTACAATCAATTAATTAAATATTCTGTTTTCTCTAGTAGAGATATGAGTTTTAGTGCTTCAAAGATTTGTCAAAAAACTCGTTCACATTCTCATCTAAGAAACTCCAAGACTTTTCTTGTGTGTAGTGGAATTGACTCACCGATCAAGTTTTAGAAAAGACGTCAGAACTTCTATCGAGTCAATGTGCGGATGCATGCTAAACATTTTCAATAATGAAGCTACTATTGGAAAAGTTGATTGTTGGTGACATTTCCAAACAGGGTGCATAGAGCAGTTCCTAAATTTTTTGGAAATCGTAACAATTTCCTTCATTCCAGAAGATGGAAGAAGTACTTTTTAAACTGAACTCTTCGAAAAAAAACCTTGAAAAAGATCAAAATTGCTCGCATTACCATCGTTCAACTATGAAACGTGATTTCATCTTAGATATCAGAAAATTACTCAGGAATTCGTTGTAACTCATGGAATAAAAGAAGAGTACAAGCAACTTACCCTCGTGCCGGTGTCCAATAAGCCATGCGTAGTTGATTTTTTGATTTTGTGATTATCGTTTATGTAGAACGATGAGAAAACTATGTTTGTTATAATCTACAATGAGACAACGAAAATATTAAAAAAAAACGAGTCACATAAAATCAGGAACAGTAATGAGTTTCGATGAAAGCCATTACTCGGTCGAATAGAAATCCATGATAAGAGTAGATGAAAACAATGAATCAAGGCATATATTACAGATTTAGGATATATCGATTTGTTTTTTCTCAATTTTCACAATTTATTTCCTATTTGAAGGACAGCACTTTCAACTTTTCGAAGAAAAAACAAGATCATCGGCTCCATATGTCGTACGCTTTTGTATAGCTAAAGTTAAAATTAAACTTCTTGCTATTTTAAATATTTGGTTGCCCTTTCGATATTTGCAGCTTTCTAGCTTAAATTAATGAATTGCATGCCACATACATAGTCATGAGATCATCATAGTCTGAATAAAAAAAAAGAAGCAAGCATGGGATGCATATTGATTAGCCTAGACTAGTCAGAATATTGACATATACTCGTTCAGAGAGCCAAGCATCGCAATAATGCATGCAACTACAAACGAATGAATGATAAGTAAATCTATGTATTACTATGCTCGACCTTCGAATTTTTCAGTGTTTACAAGACTCGTTTTTCGCACTTGAATGCAATAGAAAATATGGCTTTTGTTAGTGCAAGTGCTTATCTATAAACTACAGTAGATTACAAACTGTATAAACGCATGAAGTTTTGAAAGTTAAAAACTATCCTTCTTAATATGTTCATGAAAATCTGTTTTGGGCCATTAAAACGTCTAAATGAGAAACGAGATGAGTACGAAAAATTTGGCTTTCGAAGATGCTCATTTTTATCTGTGTTCCATCGTTTAAAGGTTTAGAACATTTTACAAAATACGAATGAAAACTTTAACTACGGAACATACTTATAATTATCTTATTTTGACTGTTGAAAAATTGAAAAATTGTATATAAATAATGACAGAAGTATTTCTATCGAAAAATGATCAAAATATTTATTTTTCAAATGCTAACACGGTTATCAAGTATTCCTTCAATCATTGCAGTAAAAATGTTGTCAACAAACGTGTCAAATTTAAACTTTCGTGTGACCAGCAGCCATGTGAGAGAAAATGACATACTATGATTCCTTTGATTTCAACCTGAATTTCGAAGAAAAAACGACACTCGATTTCAAACTGAAATGCGGGACAAGGAGGATCTTTACAACTATCGTGATGGTATCCATAGTATATACCCCCTATTTTTATAGACTGCGGGTCTTGCAGGCCTTCACAATTTTCGTTATGATATCTATGATATATACCACTTTTCTTTTTATAACCTGCGGGTCTTTAGAACTATAATGATCATATCTATAATATATACCTCCTTTTTTATAGGGTGCGGGTCTCACGCATCTTTAGAATTTATATTATGGTACCGTAATAAAAATTCTAAAAACCGACAAGACCCACGAGATTCGCAAGACCTGCGAGACCTACAAGATCCGCAAGACACGCAAGATCCGCGAGATTTGTAAGATCCGTGACACCCGCAAGATTTGTGAGACCCACAAGATTCGTGAGACACGCTGGACCTGTGAGACCCGCAGGATCCATGAGACCCGCAAGACCCGCGAGATCTGTAAGAACTGCGAGACCTGCAAAACTTCCGAGATTCGCAAGATCCAAGAGACCAACAAGGTCCGTGAGACGCGCAAGACTACCAACACCCGCGAAATCACCAAGACCCACTAGACTCGCGAGATCCGTAAGATCCATGAGACCTGCAACACTCGCGAGACGCACAAGCTCCGCAAGACCTGCAAGGTACGTGAGACCGGTAGTACCCATGAGACCTACACTGTAGAAAAAAAAGGGGTATATACTAGACTTCTGCGTGACCACGATATTTCAGTCACGTCACGTCACGGTCACGAAGATTTTTCGAAACTAGTCACGTCACGGTCACGAGCTAGCTGGTCACGGTCATGTTCATAGCCACCGAAATTTTTGGAAACTAGTTACGATCACAGAAATTTTGGATTACTAGCTGGATTTTTGTGCTACAAAATCAAGATTTAAATTGATTTCGTTGATTTCCGCTATAATAAAACAAAGAAAACCAGTAAATGAGTAAGAATCTTGATTTTTTTTTCACAAAAATCAGACTTTTAGTTTCAAAATTTTCCACTGTAAAGCCCCGATCATAAGCTACTTGGTCACGGTGTCTCGTGACCGTGACCATTTTGCAGAAGTCTAGTATATACCATACACATATATCGCAGCGGAGGTTGCTACAGTCAGCGCTATGTCCTGATTTTCTGATTTTTTTCTCGTTTACTATAGCGAAACGCTACGTAGTATGCATACATATTATCTATGGTATATACCTCTTTTGTTATAGGGTGCTCGTCTTTAGAATTATGATGATATGTATACTATATACCCCTTTTTTATAGGGTGCGGGTCGTATTGGTCTTTAGAACTTTCATTACGATATCATAATGAAAATTCTAAAGACGCGCAAGATCCACGAGAGCTGCAAGGTTCGCAACACCTGCAAGACTAGCGAGACCCGCAAGATCCGCGGAACCCCCAACACCTGCAACATCCGTGATACCCGCACCGTAGAAGAAAAGAGGTGTATAACATACACATATATCGCAGCGGAGGTCACTACAGTCAACCTTATGTCCTGATTTCCTGATTTTTTCGTCGTTCACTAAAGCGAAACGCTACGTAGTATGCATACATATTATGTATGGTATATATCTCTTTTTTTATAGGGTGCTCGTCTTGCGGGTCTTTAGAATTATAATGATGATATGGATACTATATACCTACTATTTTTATAGGGTGCGGGCCTTGCGAGTCTTGTGGATCTTTAGAATTTTCATTATGATATCATAATGAAAATTCTAAAGGCCCACAAGATCCGCACCCTATAAGAATAGGGGTATATACTATAGATATCATCATCATAGTTCTAAAGACCCGCAAGATCTGCACGTTATAAAAATAGGAGTATACACTATTCATATGATCATCATAATTCTAAAGACCCGCAAGATCCACGGTTTTTGTGAAAAGGGATGCTGTCTTTCTTTCCAAAATTCAGTTTGAAATCAAAAACACCATAGACTCGAAAAAGAATGTAAAAACGCTCAGAAAAGTAACTTTTTTGAACATTTGGACATCGAAATATATGTGATAAAAAAAATTGTGCAGGTTCACGTTGAAAATTTGGATTTCTTGGTGTTGACACGACGCGCTTGAACGCTCAGAAAAGAACGATTTCGAATGTTTAAACGTGTTTTTGCAAAATCTTGTCTGCTTGGGTGGTAGGTAGTTTTAGTGGTACTCATCATACTTATACTGGTGCATCTTTAATTCAGTCGCTAGTAATTATTTAATTTTAAAATGATTTTATATTTATTAATTAAACAGTTTGTTTAATAAATAGAAAATCATTTTATAATTGAATAATTAGTAGCGATTGAACAGATAATGATACTATAATAATAAATGAGTTCGATATCATAATATGTATTAGTATATGAGTATCGTTATATTCAGATAATTTTAGTCTATTCGAACCAAAATACTGATGATCAAATCAATTTTAAGTTAATTGACTGGATATTGAGTAGTGCTGGGCACCCAGTCGGCCAGTCGAGACTTGAACTGGTGTATACCCAAATATAGTTGTTCTTCTTCCCTCGATGAAAGAAGAAAATACTATACACTACCTAAAGATGCGTTTTGTACTTACCGGATGTGTATGGTCAAGACGTAACGAAAAAAAAAGACGAACAAGTAGCTACCACTCAATACAGTGGGACCCCTCTTTTTATACTTTACATAAATTAATTATACATCGTAAAATAATTACAATTTTCTCTTAATGATAAAATCCGATCAAGAACGAGAACCAATGTCACACAAATAGTGTTTACGTGGTACAGGTATTCTTCGTCCTTCAGTAGAAAGAGAAAAGATGATAGATTCTCTAATGATGTATTGCGTTCCTATCTGATAAGTATGGTAAAAGTGTAACGAAAAAAAGACGAACAAATAGCTACCACTCAATACAGGGGGATCTCTCTTTTAATATTTTATGTAAATTAATTATACGCATAAAAGTAATTATAACTTTCTCTTCTATGATAAAATTCGAGCAAGAACGAGAGCTAATGTCATATAAATAGTGTTTATGTGGTCTAATTATTTTTGTCCGTCGGCAGAAGGAGAAAAGATGATAGACTCTAATGATTTTTGTCGCTCTTGCCTAATGAGTACCGTAAAGGTACAACGAAGAAAAAAATGATAAACAAGTAGCTACTATGCAATACAGAGGAATGCATGCTTTTATATCTTAGTAAGTAAAAAGTCATAATAGAGAATTTTCGTGTAGAACTCATCCCATATAATAGTTGTTCTGGTACTTATTATATTCTGGAAGTTTCAGCTCAAATAGATGGCTCTCCTTCGAGATAACACGTTTGAAAAAAAATCACTACATTTTCGTGAAAGCTCCCGAAATAGTCAGTTTTTTAGGTATCCCATATCTTAAGAAAATCTCATTGGTGTGAGCTGAAGCTTTCAGATTATAATAAGTACAATGAGATTTGTTATTGAGGAAAATTTCATATGAAAATTTAGTAAAATGATCATAACTCGAGGAAAAAAGCTTAAGAGGACACGAACATTTTTAGAGTTTTCATTTAAACTATGAGCCCTACTTATGAGTAAAATATTACATTAAACAGAGACTGTATCATTTAGAGAGGCTTTCTCATTAATTTAATTTCTGTCTCGATGACACAGATCAATACTGATCCAGGAAAGAATGCGATCATTCTTGAATTATTTGAAAACTAGGTTTTAGAGTTGTTTTTATTTAAATGATAATTGGTAAAAAAATATTTTGCTATATGACACAAACGTTACTTAAAACATAGCAAATCAAAGCAAGCAGCATAAATCAATTGATATCAAACTGCATTCTGCATCATTTGAGACCATAAATTATTCTCGAACAATTAATAACAGCATATGCATCACAGCAATTATTATTTTATAAAAGACACAAATATAAGATAAAATTTATTAAATTAAAAGAAAAAAAAGAAAGAAGATTGAATGAATTATGTTAGAACAAAAAGAACAAGATTATCTTATATGGTTCAAAGTTAACTGTCTATTGTTTCTTTTCTTTTTTTTATATTTGATCCCAAATTAAAACACCAATGATTATAAAGAGCTTGTTAAATATTAGTTTTGATGTTGTTACTGAATTGCACAAATCTTTTTCACAACAGTCATTAGCCAAAACTGAATTAGCATTGACCTATTCAACAAAATAATGATTAAATTTGTTTGATATCAATAGAAAAGGACGAAAGAACTTACTTGAACATTACATTGTTCTTTAGCACAACCACGGCTGACATCATCAGGAAATGCAGTCTTGCAAAATCTATTATCATTATCAGTACGAGATCTTATTGTATTACTCAACTGTGAACAATTAATTGAGCATGCACCACGAGAATAATATTGAAGTGCTATCAAAAAGAACACATTTTATTGTCAAAAAAAATAAAAGATAATTGAATTTCACTTCCATAAAGAGCAACATAAACAAGAAATAAAATAGCAACAATAATGATTGATTTCATGTTTTCTATATTTTTGATCTAAGCAATGAAAAAAAACGTATCTTTGGCTGTCAGTTAGTATGTGTATGTATATTCAAGCAACCAATATACTCTCATTTTTATATTTCGCTCAATATAAACACAAAATAGAAAGAGATATTATATCTTCGGATGTTGTTCTTTCTCTTTCACTTTTCGTCTGATGCTTATTATTACTAATACTTTGTCGATAAAGAAAAATAATAGTAGAATCTTTTGTATTTGACTGTCGCTCCATAAAAGCCATTACTGAGGAGAAAAAAAATGATAATGTTGAATAAATACTGCAGGCAGCATAATCGAAATAAAACAAGGAAGAGAAAGAAAATACAGTGCTAGATGTTGACAGTACAAATGAACATGAGTTTTATATCTGTTCCTTACTTTAATTGGAACTGTAGTCCATTCAAAAGTAAGCAAAGAACAAATTTGTCGAATATTTTTGATGACAAGACACCTACACTTCATAAGAATGTAATTATTCATCGTACAATTATTCTATACATAAAATAGATCCAAGGAATATCTTCTTTTAATAAAAGATAAATTAAAAAAATTCTTCTGAATTGATAAAATAAACTTTTTTAAAAGAGACTTATCTTATTTTAACAATGATCTATAAAAAGATAAAGATATAGATGCAAAACAGAAGTATGTTTATCATTCAAAATACCATATATAAATAAAAGCAATTAAATTTGTAAAAACAATAGATATTGTTATTAGTTTAATTTTAATAGATGAATTGCAAAGATTGTCTGAACAACAGACATTAGCAGTATTAATAACACCAACATTAACTTGTACTTCACATTGATAATTACTTTTAAAAAAAGATCAAATATAAAATAGTTTTTCCAAAAAAAAATATGACATATTACAACTACGCAATGTACCCAATGGAGAAATGATTTTCTTAAAATAGATTTTTATATTAAGAAAAAAGAAAAACAAATTGATTTTCGAAATATTTACCCAACACCGACTTTCTTCTTTTGTACATTGAATAATACTTTTTGATAATTCTGAACATTTAGTAAGACAATAACCATTTTTATAACATTTAAGGTCTTTAAACATAAAATGAAAAGTCATACTCATTCATATAAACCATGAAAAGAAAACCAGTAATGATATTTTTTTTATGCATTACATTGTTATTATATATTAATGAAATCTAAACAAAAAACAAAATAAGCAATATATAGAGTCTTTTTTGAACTCTTAAGCATTTTTATTAAAAAAACGTAAGACAAATAAATAAACACAGATGGCTTAGCTATAAAAAATTTACGAATATGAAAAAAAAAAGAAGTTTCATATAAACAAATGGTTACAAGGTTTTCTTTCTCCCGTGGACGAAAGTAAATATGCAAATATGGATATTGAAAAAAAAATATGATTATCATTTTTGCACTAATAAAACTTTATATCAGAAGACTGAAATCAGTTTAACTACGCAATTTCGAATGTAAATCATTTAAACCTATTTATTAAGGTTTGCCATTACTTCCTAACTGTAGTATGACATATCTTTCATCTAAAAAAAAAATGAAGCATGTATTTTTTTTTTGTTTTTCGAATTCATTTCTGGCTAACTTTTAAGATTTTTCAGACAATAATGATCAAGTGCGAAAAAAAACACTGACTACGATGTGCTTAGAAAGCATAATTTCACGTGATTGTTTGTAAATTTGTAATTCTCGTAGAAGATCGTTAGCGATGTGACTCAGTTTGACTAACTACATACTCTAAAGAGACAGAATAGAGAAAAAAGAAATATACGATATACTTACTATGTGCATAAAACTTGACGAACGAATACTTTAGGAGAAAAAAAACTGAATGTAAAATTTCGTTAGTGATGTAACTGAGAAAATAGAAGGTTTTTAAACTAAATTATCTTCAAGATAAAATGAACCTTTTTTTCTTATTTGTGAATGGTTAGAAACAGCATTGAAGGAACTCTCGACCCATACGGAAACAAATTGTTCTATGCTCTTATTCCATGTAAAACTGATTATGTTTTCTCACGGTAAAAATATCTTGATTTTCATAATGCAATGAGGCTTTTAAAACATGAGATTTTCCTACTGTCTGGAATGATGCGAATTAAAAATGAATGTCAATTTCATAAATTAGAGACCACAGGCTAACACTCTATTGTACTTTCACAAGTCTGCTATGAGTTTCAAACAACACGAAAAATGTACTATTCTACTTGATTTTGCCGATATATAAATATGTACTACAAATATGTTAACTAACATTGCTCGATTGAATGAAAAATAAAACCTTGTATTAATATATCAATCGATTTAAATACCAATTCAATGAATTCTTGATACTATCGAATACTTTTTAAAAAAGCTTCAAAGATCAATGATCTTTCTATTATTGTATATGTTTAATGCAATAGATCGTTCAAGGTTTTGAAATGAATCGAGATAACCAATCATACTAGTTTTCTTTCTATGGTAATTTGTCTAATCTGCATGAATTTTCGACAAACTCGTTTCTTTTTTTCAGAAAGGAGAAAGACTTCATTTTCAAAGTAGAACTTCAATAACTATATCTCATCGTTTTATACAATCAAACGATAGTATCAATTTTCTCAGTGAGTTTCCAATTATGAAAATACTGAGAATCGGTCTGTTTCCCCGAATGTTAAATCATTCCTCATTTAGATAAATATCGATAACATTGTACAATTAAGATCACTATACTAACGATGGAACATTCCTAGGTCTCCATTCACTTTTCAGCTGGAATTTCATGCATCTTGTAGATCTTAGTGAACTATATGTGTACCATAAAAAGAGTTCCTATCTATGGCTTGTTTTCGAGAAGATCGAACATTTTCAATGAATTTCGACCTGAAATTTTGTCTATATAAAGACTTCAATTGGACTAGCTTGTATAACAAATTTCAGGCTTTTTGGACTAAGTCTTTCCGAGATACAAAAAATCCTGAGGTATAGTCTCTTTTCCGTAGATAGTTTATACAGACTGTATTTTTTGAAAGCTTCATATCTCAAAGAGACTTAGTCCAAAAATTTTGAAATTTTTTTTTGATCCAAATTAGTTCACTTAACATCTTTCTGTGAGCAAAGTTTCAAGTTGGAATTCGAAAAATATGGTCTTACTGTGAATCTAGAGATCCCACAGCTGAAATTCGCTAAAAAAAAACAAACGTTCGATCTCCTCAGATAGAATCCCTAGAGAAAATGGTGTCTTTTATGGCAAACATAGTTCACAAAGGTCTATAAGATACACTAAATCCCTGATTACAAGCAAATGGACACTTAGGAATATTCTTTCGTAGGAGTTTCACACTAATGTCAAAAAGAAATGGAGGAATAAATATAACTAGTCTCAGTAACAAAGCGAAAAGTAAATATCAAAGTTTTCATGTTAGTAAAATTGTTAAAATAAATTATTAACTATTAAACACAACATATTTTCATATATATACCCCTGGCAAAAATAAGTTTCCCTCTGTATTTTGAGGATATTGTTATCAAATGAACATATTTTATGAAAAGTAACGACATATTCTGAAAGCCCGTGAAATTTTATATCAGCCT